ATCACCATCAAGGGTTCGACGGCCGGCGACTTTGCCATGGAGACCGACTGCGGCTCCGGCCAGCGAATTTTTTCGCCATGTCTTTGCTAGAGATTGTTGTGTTAATTATTAGATGCAATGCAAATGCATAGTAACAGAGATTCGCAGTTGTATGAGGTTGGTAATGTAGCGATGTAACGGAAGGTAATCTGAATTTTCCCGGTTTTTGGTCTTTGTTCTTGTCTTAATTTGTTGATCGGAGATGGTCGCCGTGGAAGGACCAGAGAACAGATCCAGAATATATATATCGAACCCAAAATGCTAACTAGTGCACAAATTAAACGAACATTACAAAGTAATCCTACAATTATACAAAATTTACATCCAGCTCCTCATATCTTCACAATATAATTTTGTGGAAAACACCATTTAAACGACTCGAAATCGAGACCTTGTGTTAATACAAGTATAGCGGGTAATTATCATAAACGGTCACAAAACTATTCACTTTGTACAAAACGGTCACAAATCTTTAATTTTGCACGTTTGAGTCACATATGTTTTGACTAATAACAAAAAGGTAATTCCGTCCATCTCCATCCAAAACTCCATTTGTTTAGTCAAGTCAGCACACCATGTCATCAACAAATAATAATAAATAAATCAATAAACCAAACCAATTATACCCAAACAAACCAAACTCAATCCCACCCAAAATTATACCCAATAAAAATACAAACCCAATCCAAGAACATAGTCGAATATGTTTCCCCTCTCTATAACCCTAATCCGAGAATCATCCTCACGATCCAATCCCCATCTCCCAAATCCAAAATTTAAATTTATTCTTAAATTTCATCTTATGGAAAGAACAAACAAAGTGCGTATAGATCTCCCTTGAGTAGAAAAAATGGTTCATTGAGATTTGAGAAGGGCACAATTTTATGCCCTGTGTATAAATCTGTAAAGGAAAAAATCGATCTGTAATTTCTTAATAATTCACTGTCAATCTATCTAAATTTGTACCACTACCCTTTTTTCCACCATATAAACTCTCAGGCCACCGAATAAGAAGAGAGGAAATTCGCCGAAACACAAGGCTAGTTCTTCCAAAAGCGGGCGTGCAACCTCAACTTGCAACCTCCCTCTCCTTGCCTTTCGCCCTCCCGCTGCTCTCCACTTGCAGCAACAGATACAGCTTCGCCGCGACCCCAATCTGCAGCATCTCCTGCTACACCACCAAAAGCAAAATCCTCACTGCCTTCTCCATCGTCACCATGGAGACGCGGAGTATCTTCTTGCTCAACTCGAGAAATTGTCAGAGGGACCTGGTGGTGGCCAAAGACAGGGATTGAGAGATAGGATTGGATTTTGAATTGGGAGATGTGGATTGGATCATGAGGATGAGTTTCAGATTAGGGTTACATTGAGGGAAGACATATTTGAGTCTGTTTCGGATTGGGTTTGTATTTTTGTTGGGTATAATTTTTGGGTGGGGTTGAGTGTGGTTTGATTAGCTATAATCGGTTTGGTTTATTGATTTTTTTAATATTATTTGTTGATGACATGGCCTGCTGACTGGAGTAAACTAACGGAGTTTTGGATGGAGATGGACGGAATTACCTTTTTGTTATTAGTCCAAACATATGTTACTAAAACGTGCAAAATTAAAAGTTTGTGACCATTTTGTACAAAGTGAATAGTTTTGTTACCGTTTATGATAATTACCCCAAGTATAGCTTGTTGTAGTATGGTGCAGATGCAATGTTATAGCTTGTTGTAGTAAGTGTGTAGCGCGATAAAAAAAGATTATATGAAGCAAGTAGGAATAGTATAGCGCAATAAATGTAGCAAATAAGAAATGGGTAAATTTGTTGAGTATTTGTAAAAAAATGTCCTCGTAAAAAACATTACAAAGTTAAAATCTTGTGTTTATTTACATTATTTCTTTTGCATCATTAATTAATTGTTCGAAAAGTACCCCTTAATTAAGTATAAATTAATTGTCAATTTTCAAATTGATTTGGGTATGATTTTAAGACCCCATGTTAAACCTTTTTAACTGTAAAGTCTTTATGCTATAACAAGTGATTCAAAATGAAGTCTTTATAGTATGATTCTAACAACTAATGGGTCATTTGATTTTGCTGATTGTTAGATTGACGGTCAATGAATGTATAATACTAAACACGTAATAAAAGGAAGTTGTTGTATTGTGGTTTACATTTTCTGATAATTATGGTAGTATTTAAACAAGTTATATGAAGTTTTGAGTGACATGTAACTTTGACCTTTTATTTTTAATATTAAAAGTAGGGGTGGTTAACCTACGGGTTGATGTCGATCCACCCGCAAATAATACGAACCGCAAGTAGCGGGTGATTGATGTGGGTGGATTGCAGGTTGATAAATCTCCTAACCGCACTTATGTGGGTGGGTAGTGGGTGGATTGCGGCTCACCCGAATGACCCGCATTATATTTTTACATGATAAAATGGTTTTTCTTATGCTATCGAATATTTATCATATTTCCTAACTGCAATACACACTAGCCATCTACTTCTAAAAATGAAGAATAAATAATAATTTTAGACTACTATTATTTGTTATTGTGTTGTGTAATATCCATTAGATATTGGATTCACAATTTCACATTATAAATTATTCAAAATCGTCAAATGCCTCAGTTTTTTCAAATTCTCTACACAATTGGTTGGTAGTGTATTGACAATTTTGATGTAAATACTACATGGATTCACATGAGACAAAGTGGGAAGTGTTTAAATTGATATAATCTTACTAATTTACAAGAAACTTATTATTAAATTCATTAAACTTTCTTAGTGGCTAGGTGGAGAATTGTTTTTGCAGGTTAACCCACAACCCAACCGCACTCATCCGCCACCCAACCAACACAACCTACAGAAGAATGTGGGTGGATAGTGTGTCGTAATTATAACAACCCGCTAGTCAGAGGGTGGGTCAATTTGAGACCAAAATCCACCCAACCCGCCCATTACTTACCCCTAATAAAAAGGCATTACACATAATGTTCGATTTTGGAACAAAAAATCCCAACAATCTCACCTAAAACAATAGATTTAACTATCACTCTTAATTCAGTAATAGCTTATGTCACATTAAGCAAACAATATTTGTATTTTTTTTCCGATGAATGGGTGAATCTTTATTCATCAAATACGATCTGTACAAAACCGGTCAGAACAACTGCAACACAACTCCACACTATACTACAAGCACAAGACTCTGCAGCACAACTGCAACACAAATACACACTATACTATAAGCAGAGAACAACTACAACAGGAATACACTTTGTACCACAATGAGTGAATCAGAGCCGAACAATATTTGTATTGTTTGTACATACATGATGAATAATACACGTATTATAATAATTCCAAACAAATTATCACCAAATTCTTAGTTTTTATCCAATATATTTTTTTAAAAGATCAGTCCATATGGTCCTTCAATGATATGTCCTCGTTTTCATCTATACTAAATTTATAACCCCAATGATTTTCTATAAATTTTCAAGTTTAATAAAAGCGATAGGCATCATTATGAGAATATTATGTAATCATAGCTAAGGCCCTGTTTACTTTCATTTCTGTTTCCTGTTTTTGAGAAAACAAATGTTGAAAACAGGTGAAAACGACATTTTTTCGTTTTCGAAAACAGTAGGAAGCTGCCACTTTCTGTTTTCAGAGTTGGAAACGAATAGAAAACAGAATGAAAAGTAAACATGTTTTCTTATTTCGTTTGCCAAATTTATGACATGAAAACAGAAAACAGGAAACGAAAATGGAAGTGAACAGGGCCATAGCTACCAACATCACACAACATAGATTAATCAGCCAAATCCATAAAGGGTGCTCCTCAATCCGAATCTTTTCATCTCTGCTCGCCTCCGAGTCAGATCACATAGTGCCAAGCCTCCCCTTTTCTGTTGCTACTGAATCAAATCTAACCTACTTTCGCCATTGTAGCTGCCGATTGTCAAATTTTCACCAATTAGCTGTTCAGGTCGCTCACTCTCCTTCAATTCGTAAAAATCTGACAGAGAGCACTCTGTTGCATTGAGATGGTGGGGTTTCAATTGCCTATCTTGCACATGTATCATCTTCGTACCATGGCATTTCCTCAAGGATTTGTAGAACCCCACTTTGACACCGTACAAAGTTTTGAAAGAAACTGACAAGACCCACTTGTTCTTGTTCATCAAGTTCAGTTTTCCCAACAGTCTATGGAGCCAAAACAGAAACATCCATCTCGGGAAAAGTTAATCTGCTAACTTGAAAATTCGTTAGCAGATACTAACTGATATCCACAATACATGAATTAGTATCCAAGTACTAAAATATCTAGAAAGCACAAACTAGTATTTAAAGTTGGCTAACTGATATCCACCATGAATCAACTATTATCCCAAATTCACAAACTAATATCTAAACAACACAGAATAGTATCCATACAGCACATAAATAGTATCCATACAGCACTTAAGAGTATCCAGATAACATATAAGAGTATCCATATTGAATACTAATTGGTTGGTTGTGGATATTAGTTGGTATATGCTATCTGGATACTAGTTTGTGATGTTTTGAATACTAGTCTGTGCTATCTAGATACTCAACAGACTTGGATATTAGTTCATACATTTTGGATATTAGTTAGTATATACTAACGAATTTTCTAGTTAGCAGAATAACTAGGCTGATCCATCTCTGTTCCTGCAAACCCAAGCAGTGATGGCATCCTACTATTTATTTCTCCTATGGTTTTGAGAAGGTTGAGAGTGTGACTGATGGATGACAGGTTAAGTTTAGAACAACAGTAAAATTGGCAGGGAAAAGAACTGTAACATCAAGATTCAAGTAAATGTATGTTCAATTGATCCACAGTTCAGAATCCAACATGTCCAATTGGAATCGATGCCCAGAAGGTAAAAAAAAAGAACACAACTGGAAAATCATCACACAAAAATGAAGACCCTATTTGGAGAACGAGGCAGAAGAACCCTTCAATGCCTTATCATTTACACGATTCTTTCGTCTTCCAACGACCAACTTCAACATCAAACACGAAGCCACCGCCAGCAGAAGCGCCAGAATTCGTCCCCCGGCAAGTCCAACCAGAACAGCAAGAAGAATTACCAACCAGCTCAATTTACTCTTCTTTTTTATCTCTCTCTGTTCCTCAATCGCAACCAAGGTTTCTGATTTACCTTCTTCCAATAGTTCACTATCTAACCCTTTTCCCTCCTTTCCATGTACTCTCTGATCCATTCCAACTTCACATTCTTCGTTCACTTGTTCAGTCAGCACATCCAATATCAACAACTTGCCTTTACGATGATGACCAAACGGCTCGCCGCCACTTCTCTTCAATTTGCTTCCCTCTCTTCTTCCACTAAACTCTGTCACAACAATTTCATCAGGCTGAATCTCATCCACCACGTCCTCTTGCAGTACCTCAACATGTTTCCCCTTCTTTCTATGGCGCAACTGCTTGGGCACCAGCTTCTTCATCATCTTTCTTTTGTGCTTGTCCTTGTGGCAGCTCTGTGTTTCCCCAGCCGCAGGAAATTCAGCCTCCTGCTGTATTTCCTCAACCACGGAGGAGCCGCTGAATTCATCACTTTCGAAGAAATCACACAAATGGGTTTCAGGCTCGTTCAACAATTGATCCTCGTGGGCAGCAGGATTGTTGATCGCGATCTCGTCGGCCTGTAATTGGTTCTGGTTATGGTGGTGCTTCTTCATCAATTTGGAGTAGGGTTTCTTAATCCGGTCGTGATTCTTCCAGAAGAGATCCACAAGGGATGTGGGGAAACCGGTCTGGACGACTAGGGAGTGGCCGTGTTTGGGCGATGGAAGATCTGCTACGATCCGTGAGATCGCGGAAACCTTCGGCTTCTTCCATGGCAGAGGCATGGCTGTTCTGGTTAGGAGATCAAATTGGGGGGAAATGAGGGGAAGTGGTGAGATCACAAGATGAAGGTGAAGAAAGAGATGGGAGGTGATATTAAAGAGGGTAAAGGGTGGGATGTGGTGGTAGCTACCAGAAAGCCGGACTCGTTTCTGTTATGGCTCGTGATGATTTCTGTTGCGGCCGCCATGGTTATATATTTTTTTGCTCTGAACAGAAGAGAAACTGAATCGGAGGTGGGATAACGAGAAAGAATTGAATGGCGGATTTGACAGAGGGAAAAAGGGGAAAGCGAAACTAACTAATGAAATGAAAAGGGGGAAAGCAAGCAGGTGGGTGAAAACGAAGAACTAACGTCGACTGCGCGTGGATGGTGGTGGGTTCCGGCAGCTGGAGTCGGCGTTTGTGGACAGATCATAATGAATTGAAATCGTTTAGTTGGTCAGTAAAATAATTAATGATCAAAACCATATCACACTTTACAAATAGAAAATGGTGGGCAAAACACGTTTCTTTCTTTTGGTTTTTTTCTTCCTTTTGATCGGGTTTATTTGTTAAATGCTCATGTGCATGTTGTAATACCTTATACAAATAGTAGAGATAATTAGTATGTGGGGTGAATTCATGTAGTGGTAAATACACTTCAATAATTCAATGGAAAAAAAGAAAAAACTTCAATTCCCATCATATTCCCAACTTCTAGTTTGGCACGCAACTTCTTGGATTATACAAACTAATCCCCTTGCGCCTGGCAGATCTTAATTTCCAATTCGGGAACCGGAAGTTCACTCCTAAAGGGAAAATCTACACTTCAATATCCACATTCACGGTATTTACCTACTAATCCTCTTTAAGTAAAGTTTTCATTAAGTACCCAGACGTTTAGTATTTTATAGAATCAACCAACTACATCTAATTACCAACATATGCTGTCACGACTGTTTTCTGCTTATCGGGAAATAGGAAGATTCAACAATATAAGAAAACAAAAGTACAAACACACAACGCACAATTTACGTGGTTTACTAACACAAAGTGTGTTAGCTAGTGCACGGACAATAGAAAATCAGTTTCACTATATTTTTAAGAGATACAGATTACATAGGAGTATGAGAAGTATTTATATTACTTCTCCAATGTCTAACCCTAATCCAATATGGTAAAGGAAAAACAGTTACAACTAGGCCTAGAAAACAAACCCAAATAAACGAGACCCCCGTGACTTCCAGTATTAGCGGCTGATAGTACGATTCAAATAATATCAGCCTGTGCCCACTAAATTTCTAGAAATATATCAAATTACCAATCTAACACTAGACATGTCAACCGACTAAAACATCAAATTCAATTTTTTTTGACAAAACACAAGCATCATCATTCTTGCTTTTGTTTCGATAGTCCAAAATGAGAAACAACAAGACACGTACGAGTATATAATTACTAGCAAAAGCCCGCTCGCTATCACTTCGCGTATTTGAAAAATAAATATTTTAAAAAGTAATAGTTTTAGTGTTGACCTAAAAGTGAAAGTAATCTTATTTCAATATTAATCATTCTTTTCATAGGTTTGTTATTTATAATAGCATATGGTCGATGAACTTGCATAAGTTAGAAGGGTCGTCGAATAGATTATTTATGCTTAAACTTTTTTCATGACGCTAATGTTTAAACTTGTATGGCTAGTAATTGATTCTACTGTAACTTTTGCATAATGAAGCAGATTCTCTGGATCTTTTCAAGAAGTATTTAAAAACAATTATTGAGTGGTTAGATAAAAAACTATCAGAATTACTTTTTAATATAAGAGGTAATGGAAAATGACTTAAAAATATGTCTAACATAAAATATGAATATAAATTCTAAAAATAAAAAAAATATTTGAAATGGATCACGTTAGATTTATTTCATATTAAATAATACTATTTTTCAATTTATTTTTTTATAATGATATAAATGAAAGAAAATTATATTTTTTAGAAACTGAATAATATATATTAAAGTACAATTTTGTATTTCAAATCGGAACTTGTGGTTTTAAGTTACGCAAACTTAAGCTTTTTAAAAAGCGAAACTTTAGAGGTGCGGTTTGGCTTCAAATTTTGAAACATAAAACTTCTAAAATTCGGACCAAACATAGTCGTACTCTTTTGGGGTTTTTTTTTTGTTGGTTTGAGGTAATCGTGGTTCTTCTTTATGAAATTTTTGGACTAATTGCAGGTTTGAGAAGGTTCAACTTGCATTGATCGGGTCAAATTATGTTGGATACACATGGATTTGGGTTCAGTTGTCTTTATTAAACAAAAGGAAAAAGCGAAATGAAAAACACTAAAGCTAAAACTCGCTACCGACTCAAAACTCGTCAACACCAAGTTCAACTCACTTTGACCTGGTTGGACTGAGTTTTGGAAAAATTCACACCTAACACAACACGCCAATTTCAAAAAACAGATAAAACTCGCTCCCGCCGAAAACCTGTAAAATTGGGTTCAAGTCGCTTTGGTCGGGTCGAATTAGGTTGTATACTCATGTGTTTGCACTCATTTGTCATTCTCAATCAAAAGGGAAAAGATAAAAAATTACTAAAATGAATAAAACTCGCTCATGACCCCAAACTATCAACACTGCATTCAACTCGCTTTGACCAGGTCTACCCATTTTAACAAACTCACAATTTACCAAACCTGGCAATTACAAAAGCAAATAAAAATCACTCTCGATAAGAAACGCGTCAACAATGTGCCAGAGTTCAATTGTCATTCTCAACGAAAAGGAAAATGAGAAATAAAAAAACATTAAAGCGTACAAAACTCGCTTTCGATCTAAAGCTGGTCAACAATGTGTTCAATTCGCTTTGAACAATTTTTTAATAACACTTGGTCCAACCTACCAACTACAAAAGCGGATAAACATCGCTCATAATACAACACTCGTCAAAACCTTAGATTCAGGTTCAATTGTCTTCCCAACCAAAAGAAGAAGAAAAGAGAAATTTATAAATGCTAAAGTCTGTTTCAAGTCGCTTTGACCGGAACGAATTAGGTTGGATACTCATGGATTTGGGTTCAATTGTGATCATGCTCAACAAAAAGGTAAAAGTGAATGAAAAAACACTAAAGTGAACGAAACTCGGTCCTGATACAAAACTCGCCAATATTGAGTAGATATGATATTGATTTTCGGTAGCGACATTGGGTTCAATTGTGATCATGCTCAACAAAAAGAAAAAGAGAAAGAAAAAAATACTAAAGAGGATAAAACTCGGTCCCGATACAAAACGTGGTAGCGGCCTTGGAAAGCGATGGTGGGGAACAACTTAGGATTCCGCTGACAGTATTTCGAGATGGACTGTAAATGGTGGGCAAAGGCGATGATTTGTGTTCAAGTTAGGATACCCATCTGTTTGGGTTCAATTGTGATCATGCTCAACAAAAAGGAAAAAAAGAAAGAAAAAACACTAAAGATGATGAAACTTGGTCCACATGCAAAACTCATATTAGCGGTCTTGGAAAACGGTGGTGGGGAACAACTTAGGATTCCGCCGATAGTATTTCCAGATGGGCTGCAAAATGGTAGGTAAAGGCGATGATTTATGTTCAAGATATGATACCCATGTGTTTGGGTTATTCAACAAAAGGAAAAAAACACTAAAGAGGATGAAACTCGGTCCCGATACAAAACTCGTGGTAGCGACCTTGGAAAACGGTGGTGGGTAACAACTTAGGATCCCGCCGACAGTATTTTGAGATGGGCTGCAAATTGGTGGGCAAAGGCGATGATTTGTGTTCAAGTTAGGATACCCATGTGTTTGGGTTCAATTGTGATCATGCTCAACAAAAAGGAAAAAAAGAAAGAAAAAATACTAAAGATGATGAAACTTGGTCCACATGCAAAACTCATATTAGCGGTCTTGGAAAACGGTGGTGGGGAACAACTTAGGATTCCGCCGACAGTATTTCGAGATGGGCTGCAAAATGGTGGGTAAAGGCGATGATTTATGTTCAAGATATGATACCATGTGTTTGGGTTATTCAACAAAAGGAAAAAAACACTAAAGAGGATGAAACTCGGTCCCGATACAAAACTCGTGGTAGCGACCTTGGAAAAGGGTGGTGGGTAACAACTTAGGATCCCGCCGACAGTATTTCGAGATGGGCTGCAAATTGGTGGGCAAAGGCGATGATTTATGCAAAAAGCCATAGACGAAAACCTAGTGAACAATAACTAAACATAAAGGCGATGATTTTTGCAAAAAGGTGGTGGGGAAATGGTGGTAGCGGCCTTGGGAACGGTGGTGCGGAACAATTTAGGATTCCGCCTACAGTATTTTGAGAAGGCGATGATTTATGTTCAAGGTAGGATACCAATGTGTTTGTGTTATTCAACAAAAGGAGAAAAAAACACTAAAGAGGATGAAACTCGGTCCCGATATAAAACTCGTGGTAGTGGCCTTAGGAAACGGTGGTGGGTAACAACTTAGGATCCCACCAAAAGTATTTCGAGATGAGCTACAAAATGGTGGGCAAAAGCGATGATTTGTGCAAAAAGCCATAGGAAACGGTGGTGGGTAACAACTTAGGATCCCGCCAAAAGTATTTCGAGATGAGTTGCAAAATGGTGGGCAAAAGCGATGATTTGTGCAAAAAGCCAAGGACAAAAACCTAGCGAACAACAACTAAACACAAAGTCGATGATTTGTGCAAAAAGCCATAGCCGAAAATCTAACGAACAATAACAAAACATAAAGGCGATGATTTGTGCAAAAAACCATAGACGAAAATCTAGCGAACAATAACTAAACACAAAAGTTGTAGAATGGAGAGTGGGGTAAAAGAAAGACTTTGAATTTTCCCACTTGCACTTGAAGGAGTGTGAGAGCCACTAATGAATAGTAATTCAAACCTAGGCTTTTATATATTAATTAATTGGCTATTCTGAAAGTACCACGGGTGACGGGCCACGTAGACATGGTGGTGATGTGGTACTTCGAACCAATAAAAATCTCGCCACATTTCAGACTGCTTAACTGATAAATATTTTTTGTAACCCAAGTACCACTTTTTTTATTATTTTAAGTGAAACAAATAAAGGTGTATGTATGTTTCTTCTTTATGAAATAAACATACCTACACTTTGTCGTGACTGAATATAGACACGTAACACATAAAAAAAAAAATGCAAGATACATAATTCGAAAACAAACAAATGCATGAGTAGTACTCATGAAGAAAGACGCATTAATTATATTCCCGCAATAACTCTCCAACCTTGATCATCATCAGAACTTGGACTGCATAAAGTTGACGGTGGCGACGTCCAAGGAGAAAGACTTAGCCAGGATGTCAGCACTGATCCCCGGCTGGGAACCAAACACCGCGTTGGCGATGGTGGTGGCACCGGGGTTCTGGCTGGAGAGCGCCGCAATGGCGACGGCGGGCGCTTTCCAGTTGGTGTTGCGCTGGTAGTGGATGGTGTTGGAGGGGAAGACGAAGACGTCGCCTTTATACAAGGTCTTGGTGAAATGGCGGTTGTTTGGGTTGGAGGTGACGAATCCGACCTCGAGGCTGCCTTGGAGAACGAGGAGGATCTCGGTGGCGCGTGGGTGCGTGTGGGGTGGGTTCTGGCCGCCGGCTGCGTAGTCGATGCGGACCATGGAGATTCCCAGCGTGTTGAGGCCGGGGAGCTGGGCGGCGAAGACCGGAGTGACCCTGGATCCTTGTGCGTTGCTGGTGTTGCCTGCCACGTGGAGGCCTCGGAAGTAGAAGTCGTTTGCGGTTACCGTGCTTGGGTTCTTGCAGGCCACGCCATTCAGCAATACTGTTATAACTCGAGATGTTAGAATAAGGTTAATTATGAATTTCTTACGTCGAGAATGGCTAGAATGAAAAGTTATATATATAAAAACCTGAACTGGTGGCATCTGCAACGCAGAAGTCTTGGAGATGGCCGGGATCAGAGGCCAAAGCAAGCTGAAGGGAGAGGCAGCTGAGAGCCACCACGAGGCCAAAGAAGAAGCTAGCAACTGAAGTCATGTCTGCGCTTAATGTTGAGCTAAGAAAAAGAGTTGATGGAGAGATATATTGATTGGAGGTAGTTAGTTGTGGATATTGTGAACTGCCACATCGCTTCCTTTATATAGATACGATACGAGGAGAGTGATGAAAACTAAGAGATCGAGATCGACTTGGCCGGCGCGGGCCTTCGTATTGAAAGTTGAAAGGGCAGTGGTGGGATTTGCGCGTGCAGATTGGAAGCAGCCAATGGGTGGACGGGGTCTCGCCGGCTAGCAGTGTTTTAACGTATACTACTTTGGCATATCGAATCCGACCGGCCATACCGAGTTCAGAGTGCCCGCTAGCTAGCTGGTATCGTTTTGTCAGCTTCCCTACCAGACGGTGATTAACTTTTTCTTTTTGAAACCTCTTTGGTAGCTTTTTGGTGATTAACAGAGACAAGTAGGCCCCAGATATATTTTGTCCATTGAAAATGGACAACAATGGAACAAAGACCAAGGCCCATGAGCAAAAAGAGACGTAACTGGTTCGACCGCCATAGCCCAATGGAACTGAATTTTGGCCCAGAAGCTCATAAGAAGTTTGAGGACTAAGTTTCAGCCCAAGTAGAATATGTGATGATCACGACAGTCCAGCTCGCGTCACCGACCCCAACACCCTTCTACAAGCGCAGCGTCCTCTTGGCTCTTGCCAAGTGAAAGGAATTCTAATTCGAGAAAAATCTATCTATACAATAAATAAAAGTCAAATAAGAAATTTTGAAGTCTCATTTCAAATTTCTTGCATCCAGAGTCAAAGTAGAAGGATATTTTGGTCTTCATAATTTTTTTTATTCATTAAAAAGACACTTACTAGGATTCAAACCATGACCACTTTAAAGAAAAACAAAGATCATAACCAATCACACTAAGTACATTTATTGTATTTTTTAAAATTAAAAATATATAATCGCAGGGAGGAAAAAACCCTTCCCCCATTTCAAATTCCCTGCTCCAGGAGCGTTTGTAGGAAGGGTAGAATAGGGAGTGTCAATTTTTTTTTCCTCTGTGGAACAGGCCAACTTACCGTACACATGCGGATTTAAACGGGTCCAAGAGTGTCAATTTTTTTTCTTTAAGTCCTTTTATTTCTCCGTGGTGGTAAAATATATATGAAAAGGCAAAACAATACTCCTTTTTATTGCTAAAAATAAAAAAAAATTAACAATAAACTAATGCATGGATTCTAATGGGCTAACCACTAATCATAAAATAAAAGAGTTGAATGGGCCTGACCTACACGGGATTTTCCCATCAAGTAAAACAAATGAACATCATGGGTTTGTCATTCTAAAACAAGCTTTTTCTCTAGCATAATATATATTATGCTATTATTTTATATCTTAGTGGCTAAAATATAATGTATTTTAAAGTTATTCAATGGTTCAACCTCGACCAACCCAATTAGTCCAATTTTTATCATTTCAAATATATATTTTGTAATTATTTGATATCATAATGATTAAATTATAGTGTATATTATAGGGAATCTTTTAGTATTTGTTAGTAAAAAACTAAACAGAAAGATCTATTTGGTTATTTTTAACATTAAAAAAATCCTAAACATTTTCAGTTCCCTTTCAAAATTCTATAGTTTTATTTCCGAATCAGTGATGTGCAAATGGCGAATTGAAGTCATCTATTTTCTTTCATTATTTTTTATTTTCAAATAGAAAGTTTAAAAGTAAAGAATAATTAGAGTTTGGCATGGGTCGGTCAAACAGGTTGAATTTCAAGTTTTTGCCCGTTTTGATCAAGTCTAATTTATAATCACATGGTTCCCTGATACCTGATAAAAATCTCAATCCAAACCAGTTTGGCAGGTGAGTCTGTGTTTACCACAATTTTCTAGGGATACAGGAATGGTGGTTCCTATCCCAAATCGTGTTGTTCATTCTTGATTTTTTTAGATTTTATCATGGCTTGACAAAAAAACCAGAAAGTACAATGATGACAAGATGAAAGTTCATAAGGCTGATTTTTGATTAGTTGCATCATTCATGTCTCTTTCCTACTAAAATTCACTATTTTTATCACGTGTTTCCAAAAAAAACTATACAACAATAAACTATACACCCCGTTATATTATTAAATTTCATACCTCACATTCCTCCGGCCAGATGGCCAGGGCCACACTAGTACTTTTTACAAGAACCAACCTCGCACCAAAGTACACCAATAAAAACGGAGGATGCAAACACTTTTTTTTTTGCATTCTCGCTTTAAATCCCAAATGAGTTGACAAGGGTTATTCTAATTCAAATCCAAATATATTCGCCAAGTGCATTGGATTTTCAACCCACCCAACAACCATGGAAGAACTCTTGTGCATGTTTATCGAGAGTTACAAATACGAATATTCAAAACACACACCTGAGATGTCCATGGCACACAAGATACAAGTTACAAGATAAACTTTCATCATCAGGTTAGCTAGCTACATAGTGGTCTTGGGGCGGAATTCAATGCCCTCAACGATGAGGCCGGCCTTGAAAAAACTCCCATCGGTTTCCATCAAATTGCATAGTAATGTGTCATCGACACCGATGTCGTTGAAGAACTCTCCGATTTCAATCTCTAACCATCCATCTCCCCTTTCTTGGTATGGTTTAGGCACACCATCAGGAGGGTCGATTATCACGCACTTGCTCTCCGCTTCCTCTTCTCCACTCTTTTCCAACTGGACTCGTAGATCTATTGCCTTGTCGCTGAACCCGCGCCGCTCCCTGGAGAACTGGAAAACAAAGTAGGCTGCATAGTTCGTCGCCGGCGACAACATTCTGGTCTCTATCCTGCCCTTGATATCAAACCACCACACATACTGCAACTCCGCCACTTCCCCGAACCTGCCAAGTTTCATGTGTTAATGATAGAAACCTATTCCTTTAGGGTTATTATTATTATTATTATTATTACTATTATTATTAGAGTATTGATAAATAAGGTTAATAGTATTTTAGTAGGATTAGGTTTATTATTAGGTTTTCCTATCTTTCCTATAAATATGTAATCTGGGTTTCATTATCAATCAAGAACAATTATTCAGAAAATATCTCCCAAAATCCTAATCCTCTATCATCTAATTTCTCGATCCCAATCCCTCTAAGGCTTCGGCCGATTCTATCTTTCTATTCTTCTTCTTCCCCAAATTCTCCATCTCAATCCCTATTTCTATCTTCTAATCCCTAAATTCCCAATTATCTTCTATAATCCCTGAATTCCCAAATGTCGATCCGACCTGAGAATCCGATAGAAACTATGTTTCTATCAGTTACATACTGTTTGGTATAAATGAATTCCATAAGTTTTGTGGAATTCATTTTGGAATGATATTTTTGTCTTTGGTATTTAAAAGAATTCATTTTCAATTCTAAATTTTGAATTCTATGGAATTGGTACTAGTTATAGCAATTCCGAGGAATTGAAATGGAATTTCCAAATGAATTCCACAAGTATTTATAGAATGATATAATTATCCTCTTTTATTAACTAAATTACTTATACATATGACATATCAAACACAGAAATTCATTTGACAATGAATTCTGCACGGCAATTCATCTTATTTCTAAGGATTTGAATATGACATACCAAACACAAGATTTCATTTGACAATAAATTCTATAGAATAATTCGTTTTAAAATGAAATGAATTCTTGATTCATTTGGTACCAAACCGTCCGTTAAAGTACTCAGTGAACAAGTAGTTTTGAATTGGTGTCTAGAAATGATAGTTTTTAACCCTGGAAAGTACATGTAAGAAACATATACTCTTTGCATGTTTGGAATTTTGGATGCAATTCCATAACAAATAAAAATGTAATTCTATGTCGATTCTGAGTTTCATATATTATTGGAATTTTTGTAAGAACCATTTTGTATGTATATTTCTTAAGATACTACTACTAGTAACAATCCTGTCATGTAGAAAATCAAGAGCCTACTCAGTATGTATCCGTAGGGGTGAACAAACACACCCGTAAACCGACCCATCCGTCCAACCCGACCCAACCCACCCGTATTTATCGTTAAAACTAAGGTTTTGGGTTGGGTAAGGGTTTTCTTTTGTACAACCCGCCTCTTTTGGGTTGGGTTTGGATTTTGGATTACACAACCCGTAGAACCCGACCCAACCCGTGTTCCAACTATTGGTATGAGTTCGTATTCAAAAAATATTTATGTCGCATATAGCAATACTTATGACAAAATTAAGATATTTTTCCATGTTTTACTCTCATGGTCTCTCTAATCTAATGCATTCTTCGGCTTAAAATTTAGACATAGATTTAATATTGCTATGATTCACGTAATTCTTTTTCTTGTGTATAATTTTAATTGAATAACATATTATGGATGCGTTCGTTTACAACCTTTTTAGCCAACAAATGTCGTGAAAAAACTAGACATCTGTTGAAATAAATCACATTTTAATAAAATTCAAACAACATTTGTGAATTTTGATACCTTTCATCTCGGTTTATTCATTTGAAATTTTAATTAGTTATAAAATATTTATATGGTGTAGAATAATTACATATTTTGTGTTGGGTTGGGTTTTTTCTTAAAAATATCGCCAACCCGACCCAACCCAATTAGAAACAAACCGTAGGTTTTAATTTTTGTAGGTGGGTTTGGGTTTAATATTTCCCAAGCCGTAGTCTATGAGTCGGGTGATGAAAATAGCAAAACCCGGACCACCCGACTCATGTACACCCCTATCCGTGATGGCAATTACCCGACCACCTATGGATAATTTTATCAAAATTCAAAATAAACATATTGATTTGGAGAGGGTATGGATAAAGTATATATGAAATTGAGGTTTTGTAGCATAGTTTGAGTAGGGTATGGCCGTATGGGTATTGCTTGCATACTCTAAATGTGTATGGATACCTATTTACTTGGGGTTGTTTTAACTACGTATACAAATGTTGGATATTTCCCTTTTAGTCGAGTGTCCTTTGCTCTTTGGGCTCACTACTTCGTTCTTGGGATCTATATGCCAAAAAATTATTTTAGATACTAAATTTAAAGATTTATTAATTTTGATATTAACTGTAATTTGCATATGAGTACAAATCTAAAATATATGGATTAAAAATCAGAATAAGTGGTTTTGGTCCATTGGATTAGCTATTGAGGTTGATTAGGCGGTCAACTTGCATGACTAAGCATTTTTCACAGCCCACTCAACAATACCGTTTGCCACATCATAAGAAGTCTGATGGCATTAAGAAAGTCTGACAGGAACAGACGACCGATGATTAAAGGTGAATTGATTGTAAAGATAGTGACGAATGAGATTTTTTTTATTACAAATGCAATTTTTTTTTAACAATTTGAGTGACGAATAAGAGAACCGACCTCGACTCCGGCAAGTATGTCCAAATCCAGTATGCAGGCGTGTCTCCCCATACGATTTCAAGTCCTCTGCTTCCCACCATATAGCATTTCTTCCCACTCTGTCTCTCCAATGCAAAGCTCTGTGCTTTCAGAAATTAGTGTGGTCTATTGCGAAATTAGATACCAGAAAGATTTGATACAATCAAATCGGAAAAGATGAAAGAAGTAAAGATGAAACATTACCATGGTCTGATTGGTGAGTATGACTGGGTTGTGACAGAGATGGAGGTAGAGTTCCTTCGCGGAGAGCTCCGGCCAGGACTCGGAGCCGGAGAGGATATCCTCGTGATCGGACGGGAGGAAGCTCTTCCAGACGTCGTCAGAATCGGCGATTGATTGGAAGGAACAAGAAACCACGGAGGATCTGCAGGCGTCGGAAGGGGAAGTGAAGGAGATGATGTGGGCCAAACACTCCGCTGGCAAGCATTTGACGATATCTCTATCCCCGCCGTGGGTGGAGGAAGTCATCTTTCTTCTTCTTCTTCTTCTTCTTCTTCTTCTTCTTCTTCTTCTTCTTCTTCTTCTTCTTCTTCTTCTTCTTCTTCTTCTTCTTCTTCTCTGCTGGCAAGCCGCTGCCGGCTTTGGAGGTGGAAGATTACGTGGCGGTGGCGATCGAGTTCGAAGCCGGCCGGCGTTAGCGATTCCTCGTCGTCGGTTTAGGAAATGCGGCAACCAAGACTGACGGCGGCAAGAGGGGTGTGAAAGTTTGCGGAAGGGTCAAAGAGGAGCTGCCTGGAAAATGGAATTGGAAGTTGACTTCATAACAATCAACCAGCACCTTAGCCTTAGAGCTCTCCTCAGATCTGATCAAACGGTTCCATCAACAGAAAGAAGGAAAAACTAATAATAATTCGGGGGGTACAAAATCAAAAGGGTATCCTCAGTTACTCTAGGAAAGTATTTGTTTAGATGACCCACGACCGACTAATTTCATGTTATGACTAATTCTAATTTAGGTCAGAGACAGTCAAGTTGAAAATTTAAGGATTTAATAAGGTTTATAGTTTTGTAGTATTATAAAATCATAATGGATGGTGGAGATTAAGAAGAAAGTGATTTGATGGTCATTTTCTAGAGGCATAAGAAGATTGCTTTTATTGTAAAATGAACTACCGTGTAGAATTCATTGGCAAATGAAATTTTGTGTTTGACATGTCATATTCAAATCTTTAGAAATAAAATAAATTGTCATGTAGAATTCATTGTCAAATGAATTCCTGCGTTTGGTATGTCATATATATAAGTAATTTAGTTAATAAAAGAGGATAATTATATCATTATGTTATAATTAGTAAATACTTGTGGAATTCATTTGGAAATTCCATCTCAATTCCTCGGAATTGCTATAACTAGTTCCAATTCCATAGAATTCAAAATTTAGAATTGAAAATGAATTATGTTAAATACCAAACACAAAAATGTTTCATTTCAAAATGAATTCCTCAAAACTTATGGAATTCATTTATACCAAACGGTATATAAAGCACTTTTCAAAATTAAAGAAAAAACAACGGATCTTATCTCATTCATTTTTACAACAGATTTCATAGAAAACAATAATTGACCGTTAAGATTGGTCGAATCTCGTCAAAGTCATTTAATGGTCAGATCACCTAGAGTATAGTATACACCCATTGGGACTCAATGCTCTCGCTGAGGGTTGCCCCATCATCGTTCAAGAGGACCGCGAAGAGGCTTTGATACCACTTGTAACATCTCAAACCTTTTCTTGACAAGATATTGTCAACTTCGGGTATAGACCCTCACGAATTTTGTTTTGGGTCACACATCTTTGCAGTGTTTCACAGTGAGCACATTTAATTTCGTAGTTCTCTTAGAACTTTGTCATTTAGGTTAATGTCGTTTTCATACTTTTTTTTATGAATGGTGAACTTTATTAGCAAGAGAAAAAGAGGAATTACAACACAAAAAATGAACACCTTTACAAGCAAGAAGAAAAAAATGAGAAGAAAAAAAAGGTTGGCAAAGCAATGTCGAAGCTCAAAGAGAAACAAACAAGAACTAGTATGGGAGCTTCCAAGACTGGTGACAAACAACTAGAACTAACAAAAAGAGAAACAAAAACAATGGGAATGCCCTTCAACCTCAAGGCCCAAACAACACCTATACATCAAGACAAAACCAAGAAACAAAACAAACAAAAGAATAACCACCAACCATCCCCAATTCTCATCCTTTGTTGCAAGTGGATGATCTTGTGACACAAGTATATGGATGATCCAACGTCCGAAATAATTTTAAATGCTCGAAGCCACCTCTCAACCATTTGGATGATCTTGTGACACAAGTATATGGGGGAAATTTCAATATCTCTAAAAATCCTATTGTTTCTTTCGCTCCAGAGTGACCAACACACTGCATGTGGCAAGACTTTAATTCAATCTCTGAACTTAGGATCACACCTCAATCCTCTCCAAGCATGGAGAAAAGGCCGAACCTGAGCGAGGAAAGGACCATGCAGCTCTAAAACTCTTGTGAAGAATTCCCAAACTATCCTTAAGAATAGGCATGGAAACATAAGATGAGAAATTGACTCCTCGTTGCTTTTACACAAGGAACACCAATTTGTAATGATCATTCCTCTTCTTCTCAAGTTGTCAATGGTGGCAATTCTTGATAATGAGGTCGTCCAAAGAAAGCAACAAATCTTCGAAGGGATGGAAGAGATCAATACGAGCTTGTAGGGGAAGGAGTTGTCACCTTCAAAAGAATCATCAATGAGGTGTTGTGTGAAGGAATGCACAGAGAAAATCGATGATCGCTCCAAGGGCCAAACCAAACGAGCTGGGCGGGCACAAGTCCAACTATGTGGGAGTGAAGACAACAAATGCATCAAACGAACTCGTTTTCAACCATAAATTTCTCTCATCCTTTATCGATATGAGATTCCCCTAAAGTGTATAAAAAACAATACAAAAATGCATCTGTTGAAATGCCAGTCAAAAACTCATGTCAAATGTCTGGTTTTTCAAAACTGAGTTAATTGATCCCAAATACCATATTTCTCAAGCGCATACACATTGCAACCAAAGGACAGTAACATTTTTACAAAAATAGATACAAGTGATGTGTAGCTAAGTTTGGCAGACACCATGTCCAAAACTGCTTTAACAAACAATAGAAACCTCTTTCAATACGTTCACTACGGTAGCTAGCTAGATATTGTTCTTGGGTCGGAATTCAATGCCTTCAACGATGAGGCCGACCTTAGAAAAACGCCCATCAGTTTCCATCAAACTGCAGAGTAAAGTACCATCATCGCCTGTGTCATTGAAGAACTCTCCGATCTCAATCTCCAACCATCCATCTCCCCTCTCTTGGTAGGGTTTGGGCAAACCATCAGCAGGGTCGAGAATCACGAGCTTCCTCCCCTGCCCTGCAATACTATCTTCCAAATGGACTCGTAGATCCATTGCCTTATGGCTGAACCCCTTCCGATTCCGAGCAAACTTGAAAACCATGTAGGCTGCATAATTCGTCGCCGGCGACAACATTCTGGTCCCTATCCTGCCCTTGATATCAAACCACCACACGTACCGCAGCTCTGCCACTTCCCGAAACCTGCCAAGTTTCATGTGTTAAATTTTTGTTTCCAAATAAGACATTTGAACAAATTGTCTCGTTTTGAGATATTGTGACATTAACTTAAACTCAAAATCTCATCCAAAACGGACCTCGACTCTGGTAAGTTAGTCCAAGTCCAGTAAGTAGGCGTGTCTCCCCATACAATTGCTAGTCCCCTGGCTCCTACCATGTAGCATTTCTTCCCACTCTGTCTCTCCAATGCGAAGCTCTGTGTTTTCAGGGCAGCAATTCGAATTTTTTTTTGTAGATCAGTGTGGTTTATTGCGGAATTATACATCATTGAGCCGTCCTTTGATGAACCAGTGACAAAAACAGTTGCAGTTCTGAAAATATGGCTATTCAATTGATTGCAATCAAATCGGGAAACAGAGGAAAGAAGTAGTGTTACCATGTTCTGATTGCTCTTGATTATAGCAGGGTTGTCACAGAGACGGAGGTAGAGTTCCTTCTTTGACAAGGCGGAGAGCTCCGGCCAGGATGTGGTGCCGGAGAGGATGTCCTCGTGATCGGACGGAAGGAAGCTCTTCCAGACGTCGTCGGAGTCGGCGATGGATTGGAAGGAATGAGAAACGGCGGCGGATCTGCAGGTGTCGGCAGGGGAAGTTAAGGAGATGATCTGGGCCAAGCACTCTGCCGGCAAACAGCTGATGATGTCTCTGGCTCCACCGTCCACGGGGGTAGTCATCGTTTCTTCTCCTTGCTCGTCGTCGGTTTAGTAAATGCGGCGAGTATGACGGCGGCGGGAGCCCTTGAAATTGGAGTTGGCCGGCGGTGATAAAACCAACTAACCAGCACGTTGTAGCTGTCCTTAGATCTGATTGATTGATTTAAATAAATGGTGAAATTTTCTATAAATCGATCAGTGTTGTTGTTTACTTCCGATTGAAGGTAGAGGAGAATCTTCTTTGGTCCAAACACGTTTCCCCTCTTTTTTTATTCTTATTTATTCTTGTGCAATCGGATTATTCAAAGATGATTACTCTATAATTTCGTTGTTTGTTCTTCCTAAAATATTTATCATGATGACTCACCCTGGACATGTGTTGAGGAACTAGTAATAACTCGTATTATGATATTTGATGAAGTTTTGGTATGGTTTTCAATCAATTTGAATCGATTTTGTTGGCGTAAATTCAATGAATTATAATTTGATGGGTTTTTACAATCTAACAAAGAGGGTAATAGATTTTGTGTGGTTTTATATATTAATTATCTGCACCAAATCTATTTGAATATGTGTTATAAATATGTTTTAGACTCAATCGTTTGAACACTTCGATTATTCATATCTCTTAACTATTATAATTATATATAACATTCGAATCTTGCTCATTTTCCCTTATTCTTACAAACAATGTCTTAACAAATTCTAAAAGTAACTTTGATATTCTAAAGAATTTTCTCATTATATCAAGAACTTTAGATATGATTGTTTAGGGTCCGTGCACATGGATTTTTCTACGAACTGCATGCTTGTTGGTTTTCTATATGTCATATTACACTCATTTATATTTCAGTGATGAGAATGATTTTGATTTTAAAACCGAAATTTAGAGATGGTACAAGGAAATCCGATCTTACCCAAACCCTTACCATTCATAGAGCCGCAAATCCTTCCATGGAATGCTGTACTCGACAAACAACCAATGTTTTTGAAACTCAATCATACCGGTCAGTCTAACTAGAAATACCAGATATCAAACCCCAACAATAAGTGATTTTAACAATAAACAACGACTGAACTATAATTTTATTACAAAAGACCTACCACTAACTTTTCAGGTATAACTTTATGTAAGAATCATTCTAAACAACATAAAAACTATCACTCATGCATATGAAAGAATTGGGACCAACCAAACATCTATCTATATTATCTATAAAGCAGATTCATGGGTTGAATTTTCTCCATTTCAAATTTCGAGCAACCAAAGTGAAAGTAGGAAGGGTATTTTTGTATTCAGAATTAGTTATTTATTTTGTATAAAAATATATCAACACCTAGATTTGAACAATGGTCTCTTTAAACAAAGACAAGAAACATAACTAATTACACTAAACAAATACGTTGTATACTTTTTATTACAAAACATACACAAAGTTAAAATCTGAAAAACAGATGACTTTTGCATAGCGATAAGCTAGCTCACTAAGTCTCCTGTAAGTAATCTTTATGGTATTTGATACTTCCATTTTCATATTTTATTATTTTAGTTCTAGACTATCCTCAAATCTATAAAATAATGAAGGAGATTCATGGTTAAATTTTTCTCAATTTCAAATATCCAGCAACCATAGTGATTTTTGGAAGGAAAAATGACATTTACCACACTTTAATTGGAATTTTTCGTTTAAACATTTATGTTGGGCTTTAAATCTGTAGCACAGATTTTAGTGTTTTCGCTTGGCTTTAAATTCGTTGGGTTCTATTTCAGTTTCTAATTTATTTTTTATTTTATTATAATGCTGCTGGAGGGATGCAAACTCTCCCAACCTCTAAACCTGGATAGGAGGAAACAAAGAAGAGGAAATATCGCAGCCATAACTCCGTCACCAACTCGGCCGTTCTTGAGACCTCTCCATGGAGCTTTCGACACCTTTCCTGCCAGACAAAGCTAATCAAGGAGCACCATAGAGGTCCAATAAGTCTCCCTAGAGTTTTGTTTTGCTTTGCAACCACACCTGCATATGAGAGTCGGAGATCCCAAGAGCTGCTACTGAAAAACTTACCAACTCTGCTAACAATACTCCTTGAGAAACAACATTCGAAAAACAAATGATCCCATGTCTCACTATTGGCATGGCATAAAATGTATCGATCTTCATTTAATTAACCCCATCGCATCAACTTTACCTTGGTTACTATCGCATCCATGGCCACAATCCATGTTATGATACTCCAATACGGCACATAGAATTTAATCCAGAGAAGAGCAGAACAGTGTTGTTTGCTATTCACAGGACGTATCGTATCCCAGAATGCACTCACTGAGTAACTGGTCATCAATTTTCCATTCCAAAAGCCTTCATCACCCTGCTTCCTCATCAACGGCTGCACAGTTGGCCGAAACTTCAGAATTCGTCTCCAAGCCCAATCTTCTCTATTCTCACATGTCAAACAACAACAAGATGGTGTGTTTTCTATAAATTCAATTATCAAACCAAGCTACATATGAATGAAAAAGTAAGTTATCATTATTCTAATAAAATCCCCAATCTTGAAGATTCCAATATCAATTTCGCTTCCATAATATATATGATACTAATCGTTGGTTAGAATTTACTTCAACCTAATTGTGGCATTTAGATTAATCTAACGGTTTTATAAGGTCGTATTAAAATAACAATTTAATATAATTTGGATTATGGTACAAAATCCAGACATAAAAAAAACTCTGCAAAATCCCAACCATAGAACCATTTATCGATCGAACATGTATTTTTAACAACAATAGAGTTATTTTTAACAATTATGATATTAGTTTTAATGATACGAGTTATTACCTATTCCATTTTGTGTGATGTTAAAAATTATCATAATCAACACAAATGTTCATTTATAAAATAATTTATTAACGATATCATGAACATCAATAATATGAACAAACAACATTAATAGACAACTGTGATATTGGATCATATATATATATATATATATATTTTTTTTTTATGAAAGGAGGATTTTATTTCATCAAATATGATTTACACTCATATGTTTTACATAGATCCATATTTCCACACAATCTATCCGAGAATCAAACAAACAAAATCCAACTGACTATACAAGCTAACAGTTTAAAAAACAACGTATCCATATGTAACTGCTACATATAAGGCCTCACTACCACAGCTGCTGCAAACTCACAATTTCCACATTCCAAATCCCCCAAGACCTTCAGCATTTTTGAAATAAACTTATCACAAGTGAGGTACTTCTTGCCATATAACCGACGACACCTCTCCCTCCAAACTTCACTAATAAGCAAACACCACATCAGGCGTCCAATCCTGCACTTTCCCAACTTCTTAGTAGCAGTCCTCCAACTCTCCTGTCAGCCACTAGAAGGAAAATACCCCTTGTTTGCAGGGGAAAATCTCAAGCAATTCTGGGTATAGCTGCACTCAGAGAAAATATGGTCTCGACTTTCTAGTAAGATCATGCATAGAGGACATGTTTCATCTACATCAATCTTCCACGTTTTAATTTTATCAAGAGTGTTGATTCTATAAATCATGACAAGCCATACTAACAGAGAGTTTCTAGGGATATGAAACTGACCCCAGATCAACTAATATCCACGCAGCAGCTCTCCCCTTAGTCTGATATGCTCCCAAATCTGCTTGATACTATACTTTTCCATTTTCACACCCTTCCACAGAACCCCTTGATCTTAGCACTGGAACTGGTCTGCAACCATAGAACGAGCCTGCATAATTCTGTTCCAAGCCCAAGAACGTGAAATCTGATTATCCCATATTGACAAGTTCCTCAACCGATATTTCTTTAACCATGCAATCCACATAGTGTCCATATCAGACAACACAACCCATATATGCCTAATTATACATGCAGTATTCCAGGATTTCAAATCCTTAAACCCTAACCCACCTTCCTTTTTTTGGCAAAGCTACTTTCTGCCAGGACACTTTAGCTTTTTCGTTCGGGTCAGCTGAATCCCAAAGAAAATCAGAGCACCTTTTCTCAATTTCTTGTATAACCTGCGGGGGTAACTGAAAAATCCTCATCCAAAACTGAACTATGCTGGCACGAACTGAGTTTATGAGCTGTCGCTTCCCTGCGTAAGTAATCAGTTTTGGCTTCCACCCCTGAATTTTTTTTTTTTTGTTATTTTGTCTACCAAACTTTTACAGTCAGCTGTCCCTAACTTTCCTGCAATGAGGTGTACACCTAGGTACCTGACTGGAAGTGAACCCTCCTGGAACCCAGATATATCTATAAGCTCTCTATGAGTCTCAACACTCACTCCAGCACAAAACAATTCACTCTTTGTTGGGCTACAACGCAATCCAAAGACCTTTGCAAACTACTCCAGGATTTCCGCCACAGTCTTAACCCCCTCCTTAGTCCCTTTTCTAAAGATCAACAAGTCATCCGCAAATCATAGATGGGTAAGCCCCACTCGATGACATTGCGGAGGATGAGGAAGCACCCTTAACATTGCTGCCCTATTGAACATACACGTCAATACTTTCATAGTAATAGCAAAGAGATAGGAGGATAATGGATCCCCCTGTCTTAATCCTTTTCGAGCCTGAAAGTTGCCAGTTAACCCCCCATTCACACAAACTCTAAACGATGCACTTTCTAAGCAAACTTTAATCCAATTCACAAACAGATCAGGCAGCCCCATAGCAATCATCACAGTATAAAGAAATCTCCAGTTAACACTATCGAATGCTTTCATTATATCGATCTTTAAAGCATGGCGTGGAGAAACTCTTTTCCTATGATACTTCCTGACCATTTCATGTGTCAGGATGATATTATCAATGATCTGTCATCCTTTTATGAAAGCAAACTGATTGCTGCTAATCAAGTCTCGCAAAACTTCCCTAAGTCTTGTAGCTAAGATTTTGGTGATGCATTTGTAAATGGCATTCCAACAGGATATAGGGCGATATTGCTTAATGGACTCGGCATTATTCACCTTAGGAATTAAGGTAAGAATAGTGTTGTCTACCTCTGCCAGTAGTTTACCAGATATGAAAAAATTCTGCACTGCTCGAATCACATAAGCTCC